CTTGGTGACTAATGAACTGCGAGAAGCGCATGCATCAAGAGTCAAGCTCTACGCCGAAGACAGCTTTGAAGTGACCGAAGAAATCCTCGAACACGTTTCCGAGCAAGGGATCATGCTGAAGGTCAAGTCCATCGCGGGACACAACTTTGTCCCGGATGTGAAAGACTTCATGCTGGAAGTGCTTTGGGAAGGTTTTGAAGATATCGAGTCCTCATGGGAACCGCTGCACAAGCTCGTGCATGAATGCCCGGCCATGGTGAAGAACTACGTTGAAGTCAAGAAGACAGCGAGCGAAGGCGAAGAATTAGCGAGGCCCAAGTGTGTCCTGCGGGACATGGCTTGGGGTGTGTGTTGTGGTGGGCGACTTAATCCAAGTCCCGCCATGACACAGGTGGTCCTCAACCGAGGCCACCGGGTGCCGACCCTTGGCGAACCGACACGAAAAGGCGTAGTATTACTAGTAGTATTACTAGTAGTACTAGGACGTAGAAAACAGAACACCTGTCCCAGCCAACTGCCAGAATCTCACTCTTGGTTCTACAACGTCGTGCTAACGTCAAGTCAATCAAGTGTGTGGTTTGCAGGGAGTCGGCACTCCCCCATTTGGTTGTTTGTGTTGGCACTGGCGTGGGAAACAACACACAACGGATGGGTTGCCTTCTGCCTCGACATTTACCGGGTCTGCAGCGAGTCGGGCGAGAACAGGAACCACCACCACTGGTTGCTTCGACGGTGGCGGTGGTTGCGTGATGTTTCCTTCGGCAATCAAGGTGTCTAGTCACAATCCTTGGTTCCCAAAATGAAGCATTAAGTGAACTACCTCGCGTCTTGTAAAGGAAACGAACTGTGTGCATCTTCACCTTCATAAACGACTCTCGGGCTGTACTTTTTCTCAAGACGTGGGCTGAGCCTGCTCATGGCATGTTAGTACACACGCTCATCATTTGTGTATGTACGAACCCCGTGATCGACGTCAAGAAAGCACCTTCCTTCGTGTCGTGGCCAATTGTCAGTGCAGAAAACGGACTGTCATTCGGGTGGTATTTCTTGGCCTTTGCAGTCGACGTGACTTTGAAGTCACGGACTACCACCACAATACTACAAATCCAAACATGCACTTAGATATACATACCTGCACATGTTTTCGACTAGCCTGCCAACGTCCTTCAGCTTGGATGGACAAGAATCTCCGTCGTCGGTCACTCGTGGTGCACAAAACATGAAATTCTGACAAATCCGGCCCGCACTACACAGTCAAAAACTCGTCGCACACCCAACAAAAACCAGGCTAGACGTGGTATGTTTGCCATCAATTGAAACGCAAGCGTCGACACAATCGAGCGCTTCCTTCACGGCTTTCGATAGTCGCTTGGGTGGAGACCTCGTATTCGTACAGGATAGGAAGTACTGAGCCCCAATTTTAGCCTCGATGTAGGTTGTACTGGACATTCCATCTCCGTCGATTGCTGTTGCGTATTCTTGGGCGGCGTAAGCTTCGCTGGTTGCGCTCTCTTGCACCATCACCCCCACTTCCGCGTCATTCGACTTCATCCACGCCGATCAAGTTTGCCCCTAATTCTGTTTTTCTCTCTTTAGCGTTGGTCACAAACTGTAGCTACTGTCGTAACACTGTAAAGTTAAATAACCGTCGGCATCTTTAAATCCTCTTTGAAATTTACCAACGGCCGTGTTATTTCCTCGTTGAGCAGTTGAAGAAATCGTTGGGTGGTCGGAATTATAAATTATCGTGCAATACCTAAAAACCAATTTGTGTATAGGCGAAATACCAAAAAGCACTACAGGGGAGACGACAACGTTGAAAAAATATCAAACTTCAGCACAAACGAAGCGATATATTGATAGTAGCCCAAATAATATTGGGCAAATACGTTCGCCAATACAAATACAATCAATTCGTACGAGGCGTAGCAGCCGGGAAGGACGAGCGTCTGGGGCTTGCACTCGGCGATGAGGATATTGGCATTGTTGCACGATAGGCGAAAGTCGATATGCACGTGAATTACTCCCATGAGCACGGCCCGCTGGAACGGCGTCATGTCCTCGAATGGCGACACAAGCGGATCAATAAACACAATCGCATTGGCAGCGTTCCGCTCGAGCTTGGGGATCAACTGGACGACATCGCCGACGCGGAGGCTCGGGTGGTTGGCAAACACAACGCACGGTTCCTACACATTATTAAACCCGAAAGTGAACGGTACACAATTGAAACATGGGAAAAGTGTAAACATACGTGTACCACCTCGACGGGCACGGGGGAACCAGGCGAGACAAACCGGAGGTGTCCTTCGTCCCGCAGTTGGCCGTGGACAAGCGGGGACGTGCAGACAAAAAGCTACTCGATTATTTAAATATATCCAATTTGCGGTTTGTGCTCGACCCAACGAAGTATTAATATATACTGTATTATTCGTTGGGTCGAGCACGCAAACCGCAAATTGGAAAAAAACTACGATTATTTAATACATATATTATATGTATACAGTAAGCTACTGTAATGGATGACTTGTTCGTCTCCGAATTTTTGCTCCTGCTTTCATGCATTCAAGCTTTGTCCGGATAAAATTTATTCGGATTAGCTGTGTTTTTCTGGTTTGTGATTCGTCACGATGGACATTTTCAGTCGGGTTGATGTTGCCGTGGTTACAGCCGTATGCGCAGTGTGTATGTCGGTAGCTGCGCCTCTTAGTGCTAAATACAATTTGTTGACCATCACTCAAGTTGACTTTGACGCTATGCTTGGTGACGCACGCTACGAGCAGTGGTTCCACGACAACGTTCGCTGTGACCAAGCTGTCTTCCGTCGACCTGTGGACTTGCTGCGCCAACGTTTACAGCCCAACGAGCGCCAATCCAGCCACTCCTTCGAGAAGAACGTGGCCGTGACGCTATACTTCTTGGGGTCCGAAGGTGGCTATCGAGAGACAGCGGCAGCATTTGGAATGACCAAATCGTGGTGTATTACAGTCGTGACGACCGTGGTGGATGTGTTGGCGAGCCAAGCAAAGTTGTGGATACGCCTGCCGACCTCCCCTGGTAACTTTGGAGTCGCATCGAGCGTGAAGGTACAGCGATTCCCGGGCGTTGTTGGAGCTGTGGATGGTACTATCATTGACATCCAACGTCCCCATGAGTACGATGGTTTTTACAATCGAAGCGGTGACCCCTAACTTAATGTCCAAGCAATGGTAGGCCACCGTATGGTGTTTTTGTCCGTGGAAATCCGTCCTGGGTCGCAGCTGGGCCAAACAATTCGTCGCTGTTTTCCTACCAGCAGCCTCGTTAATGGCGATTCTGGCTACACATTGCTGCTATCGTTGTTGACCCCATATGTCCCGCACGAAGAAGGCGGTCGTTTGTCCAACACACAAAAGCGATTCAACTACAAGTTGTCCAGCAGTCGAATAGTGGTCGAGTGTGCGTTCGGGCGCCTCAAGGAGGGATTCCGGATTTTGAAAACCGAGATGAACGAAAGATCATTGGACCGGACGGTCGCAATCACTACCTGCTGCTTCGTACTGCACAACATGTTTATCCACGTTAACGACGGCCTTTTCGATGCGCCATGTAACCGTCGTGATCAGAATTTATATTTCCAACAGGCCGATGAAAGTGAAACGGAAACGAATAGTTTTATCCGTCGAACATCAATGACAAAAAGAAATGGAATTGCAACGATTATAGTAATTTGAGAATCTAAATCTTACTTTTCCTTTTGTGCGATTAAATGCGCAACGAGTTGAGCAATCGTCTGAGACTGTCCTTGAATGGCTTGCAATACATCGTCCAATGTTGCCCCTGTTGGCGGGGCGCCGCTGAGAGTGATGACCCCAAATGAATCAAACCGTCCTTAATAGCCATAAATCCGGACTCCAACGCCTCGCTGTGGCTCTTTGACTTGGATGGGTTTTTTCTTGCGACCGCGCATCATTTCTTCTTCGCATTCTGATCACGATATTACATATATAAATGTTTTTTGCCAAAGATAATGAATTAATGATGATGAATTATGCATACCATTAATATGATTAACAATTTTATTCTCGTCGGTGGACATTAAGGATTCCCGTTGACATAGTCATCAAATCGACATACCTTGTCTTGCACTTGAGCGACAGAGTATTCCTTCTCCGTGACCACGCTTAGCTCGGCAGCCAGCATCACGTAAGCAGTCTTCTTGTCGGCGTTGCTCTTCGAGTAAAACCGCGCAGACAGCTGAGACTTGTACCGCAACCGAAACAAAGCAGCAATGCCATCATCGTCCCACAAAGGTGTGCGCTTGGCAGCTCCGCTGGGCGACCATCGTGTGCACTTGGGCGTCTTGGCTAGGTCTGGAAGATTACTGTCTAATACGTGTGAATTTGATGATCCTATAGTCTACAACTTGTACCATCGTGATCAAAGTCAAGCTCAAGCGTGACTTCAAAACAGTTCTATATTGTAACCTCTTCTGCCAGTGTTATAGCCAATTGAGTGTAAGAAACAAGGTGTGATGGACTCTGATTGGATATTAAAAAGGAGCAAGGGTAGCTCACCTTGGGAATTCCATTAAGAGCGTGGTCTCCGAAGAAATCGTTCTTGCTTTTGGGTGTTCCTGCTATTGCGTTGATTGGCTAGAATTATCCGAATTCAGCATAATCTTCCTGCCTAAAACCGTGGTTTGAGGCGTTGTTCACGCCTGTGTTCCTGCCCAGTCGTTCCATATCGGAGACAGCAAAATGAACGACGAGGATGCTTGAATGGTTTGAAGCTTCACGTGATGCTCCGGAGAATTGTGCACTGATGAGTTCACTCCGACAATTTCCAATGTGGTTCTCTCCTTACAGCTAACATTATGTTGTGCGCTCGGCCGGGTCGCAATGCCGTGGCTGCTCTGGTGGACCAACGCTACCAAGACGTCTTGCGTCACCGGCCCACACAACCACGTGAGCACATCAGCAGATGGAGGACACAAATGACACAGGGGACTCGATCGCACCTTCCTTGCCGAGGAAAGTGGCGCCGATGATCTCGGCCGCGACACTCTCAAACAAACACGTCAGCGCTGCTCCCGACGTAGTCGACGACCATGTCCCCAATCAAGTCGGCAATCACCGACAGGTTGTGCGGGTCGTCTTTGGGGATGTCCTGCTCGACCTTGCCGACGAGATCGACTCCGACGTCTGCGGCCTTGGTGTAGATGCCCCGCCCAATTGCACGAACAGCGCCACGACCGACGAGCCAAACCCGACCATGAGCATGGGGATTTCCGTGGCACTCTTGACGGGCGTGAACACGGCATGCAGCAACATGTGTTGAATGCTCACGCCCGCCACGAACAACGTGATGTTGAGGACGGCGGAAAACGCGCCGCCGCGGAAGCAGTTGAGCAGCGCCTCGCCGTACGAACGATGCGCGGGCGCTCTCCTCCATCAAGGTGTGCCTTCGTTGGCCATCAGTGTAAATTGAATGGGAATTATTATAAAGATTGCATGCTGTACTGTATTTGACTATGTTGAGCATGAGCAGTACTTTTGTATATTATTTTAGATTATAGAACTCTTCCACGGTCTGGAGGGTGATATCTTGACGAAAAAGTCCTATGATACGAATTTTCGGGGCTGAACTTATGTTTGGACTTATTGAGACCCCGATAAAACCAACGGCTGGGAGTATAAGTCCAAAATTGGTCCTATCTAAGGGTTATCCAAATAATCAGACCTTTAAGTCTGACGAGTGGAGATGCTCTAATTATCTCAATGCTTCTTGCATCAACCGCCATCACAGGAGTAGAATATATCGCAATAGGGTGTGATGAATCTACTCAGCGATTTTCGTGATTTCACGGCATCTGATTGGACAAATTGGACAATTTTGAATTCGCAAGGTGACCTGCCTTGCGAATTCCAAAAACAGGCAGACACATGAAAAATAAAAATGAGAATACAAACTTGAAGATATATTTAATTGAAACTATACAATTTCAGAATTAAATTGTACGATGCGAAGAGGCATCGTACAATTTTGTGGAGGGTCCGCAGAAGTGCGTCGTGTGCCCTTGGAAATGACTGAGGGCAAACAGCACCTAACTGGGAGGGCGAGAGCCGCCTGATTTCGACTGATTAGTATTTCGAAGTATAAGAATAAATACCAATGAGTTTGCATTATGATTCTAACCACCGTTGTGGTTGGGTTTCCACTTTTCGGCGCATGCGCTTTCGGCGCATCCGGATAAAACATCCGGATAAATGACTTTGGGTTCACGGCCATTTCATTGTCCAACGAAGTCCATGCCCCCAAGGCCAACGACAATAAAGCGCTTCCGTTGGCGTCGAGTCGGGGCTTACACGCAACGGTACGTTGCCTCTTACAACATGTAAATGATGCTGCTAGGTTGCGTTAATGCTATCACTTGGCTGAATGCATAGGTCATTCACATCGACTTCGACGACAGCCAAAGTCGGCGATGCGTGCATCCTTCGATTTCCCAGTTCCATCCATGATTTGTGTACTGCATATAGATGTACATGAATTCCCACATTGTCCTAAGTCCGTGATGATGGTTGTATGTGTATGATATTTGAACTAAGGGTTGTATTGTATCTCTTAGCCGCCACTCGTGCGTTTTGCAGCTTTATTCCTTTGTTCATGTTTGCTTGTATGCATATTGTCAATTACTAGTATATCCATAGCTGATTTTATCGTGAGACTGGCACGAGCGCTTGCTTGCAAATACTATGAAGTC